TCCAAGATTTCTGCTATGGGTTCTTTTCTGCATATAATGTAACACTTTTAACAATAGTATCTTGTTCCAGTTTACAAACAATGAAATTAAATCGTTCCAACGCTAGGCTAAAATGTTATGCCTTAACCTCTTAAAATACATAATATAATTATTTAATAGGAATAATTCGCATTCTTAAAATAAGAGGGAAGATTCGGTGATTGTTTAAAAACACAATTCTTTGGTGTAGAGTTGATTGATCAGTGAGGTAATGGGGAGAGGCATGGCTGGGAAGCAAGAAAAAGTTTAAAGGGGACTTCAGATTTAGGCCTTTGCTTTTAGTTGAGAAGGACAGTCAGTTTACTTTACTTAGGTTTTATATGTTACACTTACATTGTTTTTTATTGTGGGCATGAGTTTGAAAATGAAATGGATTTTTGAGGGAGTGGAGAATGGATAGTATAAAAAAAAGAACATAAGCTACTGAAAGAAAGTTGATATTCTGAATATTAATACATAAAATGCCAAATATAAGAATATCAGTACATATAAATTGAATCCACCGTTATTAAAAGATTATTAATTTAACAATGCAAAACTGTACTTGTATGCTCAGAGGAATGCCCATAGATTTCAGCTGGATTACTCCCAGCAAAATTCTCATAAAGCTCTTAAAGGTTGGATAAATTCAAGAAAGAGAGATTCTGAACAAATAAGGGAAGATTGTTCTCATTATTTGACTTTTATTGGCTTTGAACAAAACAAAAATATGAACTGCCTGTCTTAACCCCGTGGATGTTATGCATTAGAGTTTATACTGTAGCGTGCAAAAGTTAACTATTGTGGCTTTGATTGTAGAAACAGAAATCTCTACTCATTATGGGTTGGTCCTTTATTTAATCTGAGGAACCTGGTGAAATCAATGGGGTATTAATTATGACAAGCCTTTCATATAATGCACTGTGCTATGCTCATAAGGGAAGTTTGGTTAGTTGTGTTCCTATAACAGGAAAACAATATGTTGCTCATTAAATCAGTTCCTTTGATGTTTTCCTCCAGTAGCGCTAATAGGACCTGATGTAGTGCTTCTGAATAAAGAGTCTCTGATACTTATCAATATCTGTTTATAGTGACATGTCATGCACTTGAATTCACATAAATAGTATTGAATCTGCAGGTGACTCATGAATTTCTTGTAAATCAGTTGCATCTTTCCCTAAAGCACTTGAATCATCCTTTAATCCCAAGGATTGGGATTTAACATGTCCAGGTACAGATGGGTGGTCATATACTGACGACATTGTGAATCATGAGCCCCTTCCTCTAAGTACCTGATGATCTTTCTGTGAGCCCCTTCCACATGCAAAGGGCAGAGCCAAGTCAGATTTGCAAAACCCCTTCAGCCCCATGATGTTGTGAAGCTTCTAGGGAATTTGGGATTAATTACTGGTTCACCTCCTCCTACAAAAAACACAACAATGGCTATTCTGCAGCAATTCCTTTGAAGGTGTTTTGTCAAGATTCCTAGGATTTCCCCCTTTGTGGTAGATGGAAAGGCCACATAGTGCCTTGCTACTATCTGAATCATCTTTAATGTTTGTATGGTGTTGGGGGGGTGGGGAATAGCTTTATCATTATCCTTTGCCATGACCAGTTAGTTTCTTTTAACAATAAATATTGCAAGAAGGAAGAGGAGGAATAATTGAGGCTGGGGTATGGCCAACAATATGGGAAGATAGAATTCAGCAAAAGACACTCATCCAGTGTGTGAAGATACTGCAGAGGATAAAAAGAAGGAGACTGGTGGCTATGCAGAAGTGTCTTTGCCTTAAGACATACCTATACATCTAGAACACGGGTGTCAAACTCGCCGGGTCACATGATGTATCATGATGTTTTTTTCCCTTCATGGAGCTGGGGTGGGCGTGGCCTGCGCATGACGCATCTGGCCAGTTTGACACCCCTGATCTAGAAGAATACATGGGTGGTACACTAACTTCACTGTAAATCCATAACACCTTCCATTAACTACATGGGTGATCTTTCTTCAATCTCAACTATTAAGATTTACCCATGCAAGTCTAAACCACTAAGCCAGTGTTTACAGTATGAAATCAGAAGACTGTATCTATCAACCAGTATTTCCCATATGAAATAATTCTCTGCCACATAAATTTAAGTGTAAATAATCTCCTTTCAACAAATGTTACTCTTTAAAGGAAACAGTAGCAAGAAGCCGTAGACCAAACAAATAAAATTATATCTTTTAGCGTTTCCTGATTACCAGCTTCTCTATCTGATTATTCCCTCTCTCTTTTATGTATCAGGTAGAGGAAACAGGAGTGATGCTCTTTCCTAGGAACAGATGTTTCCCAGCATTACTTCCATTTCTCCCCAGATGTGGCAAATGCTGTTCATTGCTCCCCTCTATTTGAAGGCTCCAGTCCCAGACATTTCAGAATAATTTTTCTTCCTGGCTTCATGTATTGCAGCTTGAGTAAACTTAGACCATATTCAGGAAAATTCAGATGCATAGTAATCTTACGTTCTTTTTATTTCAATAATCCAACTATCAGTTGCTCTGCATCAGGCCCAATGTTATATGGTGTGCAACAATAAAATGAGGCTTCTGACAAGAATTTAGGCTGCAGCAGATAAGCAGTTATTTTTAAAATCTTCCAACATTAAATGTGCCCATCTAATAATTGGACAGCAAAATTAAAAATAAATGTTTCAAATATTATTGTGCGTGTTTTTAACAAATGTACTGATATTTTTCTTTAATGGACATTTCACACTTAGAGACTTGTACTTTTTTTATACGATCATCCTGCTGTTTTGAAATGATAGAAAGTCTTTCTTCATTGCTGTTTTTTGATATAACAATGGTTGATGACCTTGGAAGATATTTTAAGTTGCTAGTGAGAAAATGCTAATGAGATAGCACTTCCTATATCATATGAGTATGCCCTATAAGAAAGGGGAAGTATATTTTTCATTTCACTAAAGTTTTTAATCTACAGATTTATGGTTATATATTCAATCCAAAATATACTGATAGACCTGTATATACTGTATATAATTCACCCATAAGGCCTCAGTCAACTAACAGAATAAACATGATGTCTTGAAAAGAAAGATCTCAATTAAGAAGTTGGTTGAGTGTATGAAAATACATTTCAATACTACAGCTGTTCTAATAGGTTTCCTGTATGTTATGTGTTACAATAAAGTTTTGGACACCATTTACAAAAACATGTCTCAATGAAACAAAAGATTAATGAATAGGTGTGGTAATGTTGTCTCTAATAAAATACCTAAGGTACATAAAGGTATCAAAGTGCCAATTACTGAAGCATAGAAGAAATTTGCCATGCCTGCCGTACTTTGCAAGCATTGTTTAATAACATACAGAAATATACAAGGGAGGTGTCAGGCTCAAACTGAAAACCAGACTGGAACAACTTAAGCTAATAAGAAAAAAACAGAACTGAGAATAAATAATATCAATTAAAGAATGCAGGAAATATTACCAAAATAAGGTTATCAATTGCAAATATTCAAGAAGTTTGCCTCTTTATTAAAAAAAAAAACACTTTCTACTTTTTTTTCTGTCCTATTACATTATGTGGCACCTCTTTTGAACAAGCTATGGGATATATAGGGTAGCAATACCAATAACATTTAGTCTTATATATGCATTACAATGCAGTGAGAAATGCATTACAATGCAGTGAGAAATGCATTACAATGCAGTGAGAAATGCATTACAATGCAGTGAGACAATGTACAGATCTGTAATCTTAACATTGGAGAAACAAAACAGTCACTTCACAAAACACATGGCACAACACAGGAGAACAAACCCATCAAGATAAAATTCAGCAGTCCACCTGCATTTGAAAGACAAAAGGGCATTCTTTTGAAGATAGCATAGTCCACATTCTGGACAGAGAGACCACTGGTTTGAAAGAGGGATCAAAGACACCATCTACATTAAGACTGAACAGTCCTCTCAACAGGGGAGGAGGGATATGACACCACCTATCTCCTGTTTACAACACAATCTTTCAGCAGTTCAAGAAGGGTCTATAACAACTCACCACAGCCAACTCACCACAACCAATTCACCATGGCCATCTCATGACAGCCAACTTGCTGCTGCCAATTCACCTTGGGACAACTTGCCATGCCAATTCACCACAGAACAACTTGCCACAGAACAAAGAGTTACACTAATATCGAAGAAAATGTCCGATAGAATTATTAAAGAAAGGGTGCCAAAGGAGGGACCAAATAAATGTGAATGACAAAAATTTAAATAACTTTTAAAATTATTTTAAATGAGCAAATGGAATTGTGGAATTGTCTCGTAGCAAGCTATCCCATGTGGCGAGTTGTCCCATTCTGCCCAATTCTGCCCTAAGGTTCATTTGCACTATTCAGGTGATCCTGAGGGCACCAATAAACCTTCAAGTTGCCTCAACAATCTCAGAAGGAGTTCTAACGACTGGATGGTTACAAGGAGTATAAATCCTTACATCCTCTGCCATTCAGTCCCAACTGAAGAAGCTTCTTGGATGAAAAGTGAAATGTCTTCAAGGAAAAACAAAGTCCAGTTGCCTTTTGAAAAAGCACCTTTGGGACACGGAAGAAAAGGTTCTTATCTGAAATAAATTCAAACTTCTGATCCATTGAATGGGCCAAAGTCCATTAGGTGGCAGTATTGCAAAACATGTTTCCTCCTGGTAAAACTGCTTCTTGAAAAAACTTTTATTACCAAAATGCTTTATCTCAATTTTGACATTTTGCAGTTAGTACGCATTATTTTCCATTTTCATTTCTCCCATATTTTGAACCAGCTTTCTCCCCCCCCCCTTTTTTTTTTTTTTCTTACCACAAAAAACAATTGAGAAAAGGATGAATTTCATTGTGGACAAAAAACAGTGTATATTGTGGAAATCCAAAATATATACATTGTTAAAGAATGAATATTACAAACACCAGTTTGGCATGTTAGAATTTATTTCTTTGTAGCAATGGATCTTAAGTGAACAAACTTCATGTAAAGGGGCTAAGATTTGATGTCAGTTGAGAAACATACAATTTGCTGTACAAATTTAATTTGAAATATTTTGTTGGAATCCAAAAATCAGCTCCATTTATCCAGAAAGAAATTTAGAATTCATTTAGGCTGATGGCGCCAAACCAACCCTGTTGTTTCCCATGTCAAAAATAGAATAATACTCTTTAAGGAAGACATCACCCAGGATCCATAGAGGTTGCCCAGTTGAGGAAGGCACATATGTTGGCTCAATTGCAAGCGAACATTGACCCTCGTTCTGTAAAAGAAAGAAATTGCTTCAGATTGTGCCCTTATTGCAGAAAAGAAAGAACATCAATCATATTTTAATGGAATCTGGATTTGGATTGTGATTAAATTACATGACATAAAAACATTGTCTAACTCAAGCTCTCCACGTTATTACGCAATTACATAAGACTGTAATTTTCTATGGTTTGCTTGAAAGGACATGGTACAAAATCCATATTATATATGCTTCAATATGTGTCTGATTCTTATATGTAATAAAGTACTAAAGAAAATACTAGACTGTGCCAAAATGGACAGGTTAATGATGAAAATTAAGGATAAAGAGGAAACAGAGTACTATTTAATTTGGTTAGAGAATAGAAGCAGCAGTTAGTAATTTATAATTAAGGATGAAACCTTATGTATAACAAAGGAAAATGCATAATAAAAACATTTTTAAAAAAATAATATGCAGCTGATTCTTCAAGAGCAGTCACCTGTGTCATCTGCAAATATTCTGACTGAATTATAGAAGGAGGATTACAGATCTGATAGCTCCAAATTAAGGGACATATTTTCTTTATAAATAAAGTAGCATCAGCCTAATGCTATTTCTACATGACGTTATTATTGAGGTATGGGACATCAATTCATCTTAAAATGAAGTGGTTTCCAATGCACAGAAAATTTAGAAAAGCATACTTACATTGAAGACATAAGCAGAAGGAAGAAGTGGGAACTGGGAACCATTAATGAAAAAGGTAATCGTAGGCATATTCTGGATATTGTTGCAGTCCACCGTATACTGTGAAAGAACAAATGTAAGGGAAGGTTAAATTGAGGCAATAAGGGAGGTTGGCCAGGTTACAGCAGCACTATAAACCCTTATCTCTTTTCTTCAGTCTGTCAAACATGCCTTTAAACTGTGCATAAAATGATATTCAGTTTATTTATGGCCACTAGAGTAACAGGAAAAATAATTAGTTTTGCATTTTTTAAGTAGATTTAAATTTTATACTGCTGAGCTTATTTACCAACCGCTAGCAAAACTCCTTTTTTGCAATTTTATAAATTGTGTTTTATATTGTAGCTCAATCATGTTCAGGTGTGCACAAAAAGGTACATTGTAAGGAATAGTATGCAACAGCCACACACCCCTGTTATTTTGGAGTAAATACCCCAAAACGTATATAAATGTTCATGTAGATTAAAAAACAAAAACAAGTTCACATCCTATTGTGGAAATCAGCCAAAACAAGCATAAGAACAAGAAAACGAACTGCATGAAATCAAACTTAATAGATTCCTCTAGTCGTAATGGTAACAGTTCCCTGAACAATCACAAAATCTGTTAAAGATTCTTTCCTCTACTTACTGAACCATCGTTAGCTGCATTCACAGCCTGAAGGAACTCCGTTAAATATTGTTGTGGGATAGTTAGCAAAAATGTTCCCGTGTCTACAATGCCCTGGCAGCCTTCACTGCACCAACCAGTAGCCTTGTTGCCAATAGTAAATCTATAGAAACAATAAGGACACAGAATATTACTAAAACCATTACAAACAACTAAAACAGACTACAATTGGTAAAATAAATATAAGCCTATGTATTCTTAATTTACATACAGCCTTTAATCAGCCATTACTGACCGGATAGCCCACAAAGGCCATGATGGAAGGCATCAATCTGAGGAAGGCTGATCAAGACTGTTACATATGCCTAAGAATTAATTGGACACTTAAATGCAGATGCCATACTTCATGGAGGATTGCCCATAAATATTGGCACCATAGTTATGACCATGCCTATTGCATAAATATTGGTCAATATTTTACAATTAGAATGTCCACTAAACATTCTGCTGTATTTATAGAAGCAGGCATGAATATTGCAAGTGATCCTTGGAAAGATCTCTACTAGAAATTTTGGAAGCCAATTCCCAGCAAATGTAACAACAACAAAAAAGCTTCAAATATTAGATAGCTTCATGTGTGAGTGAATGTATCTTCTAATCTAGATAGATTTCATACTCCACCGCATATTAAGTTATTTAACATATTTGTTCAGCGGTATAGTTGCTAAATTCAGTAGCATTTTCTTCTGACCAAACATGCTTAGGATTGAATTGTTTATGGGCTTTTATCAAATTTTCTTCATAAATGTGTGCCAACACTCATAAGGCGTTCCATGTTCTTGATGGAATGGTCAATTTTATTTATTCATTATTGATATTTAAAGCAACCTTTTCTTTTCTTTTTCTTTATTTTTTATTTAAACTTGTGGCTTGCAATACTAGGTCTCTGAATGCAGTGATGGAAGTAGTTACAAATTTCGGTAATAAGAGACTCACTTGACACTTACATCTCATTCTTTTCTATGATGAAGCATTTTTTGATAAGTTATTTTAAGATATTTTATTATTCTTAGAAATAAAACATTACTACTCTTTATATAATTAGATTTATTAAGATGATTTGATATTATGAATATTGTTACTATTATTGTTGCTGCTGACTTGCTCAATGGACTGTTTGTTGGTTTTATATTTACAATAAGAGCCATGGTGGCGCAGAGGTTGGAATGCTGTATTACAGCTAATTCTGCCAACTGCCAGCAGTTCAATTCTGACTGGCTCAAGGCTGACTCAGCCTTCCATCCTTCTGAGGTCAGTAAAATGAGATTGTTGCTGGCAACATGCTGACTCTGTAAACCGCCTTAGAGAGAGCTGTAAAGCAGTATATAAGTCTAAGTGCTATTGCTATTTACAATATGTTTTATAGCGATCTGCACTCCGCCCAATGATGGCAGATACAGTACTAGCCGATTGAGGATTTGGCTGGCTGGCTAGCTAGCTGGATGGGTGGATGGTGAGAAATGATATGCCCATCTGTTTTCCAAATTTGTATCCTAGGCAGAACAAGGCCTGTTTTCCTTCCCACAAACATATTTAGAAGTAGAAAAATAAGTATTGGATTAATCAGTTCTGCCAAAACTCTAATACACCTAACCAACAGGTGAGAGGAATTTATTTATAAAGGGTGAAGAAGCAGCTCATTCAAATAAAATGGAATCAGATATAAATCAGGAAGAAAAGATATTACTTACTCTTGTATACCGATCTGCCAGTAAGCCTCTTCAGTCACAGGGGCCCAAGTAATTTCCCCAGTGTACAACTGGGGGTCCGTGCCTCCCAATATCAGTTCTCCTCCATACTGAACAGTTGGTTGGCTGAGAAGAAAGAGAAAAAATGGGCAAAAGAAAGAGTATTAGCTATAGTTTCTCATCTGCTTGTGGTCTTTTTGTATAGAGTAAACAACCCTAGAATCATTTTCACCAGAAAATATAACCAGAAAGCGAAAGTAAAAAAAAAAAAACCAAAACAGTTGTGGGATAAAATTACAAAATAACAATGAAGTAAACTGAGATTGTTGTGTGTTAATCCTGAATATCCACCCATCTCCGGTTCCCCCATTGATGTACACACCCTTCATTCAACTGCTCACTCCACTGAGAACCATGTTTTTAAAAGCTGTGAAAATTCAACTTATCACAATTCCAACTGTGAGATAAGAATATAATTTGAGGTTCAAATGAGGGTACAAATCATCTTCTTACACTTATACTGTGAATAAAGTAATCCTTAGTATATGTGGTGGAATCAACTGAAACGAGGGAGGTCCCAATAGGAGGAGTTACGAGATACACTACCTTGGACTCTTTTTTTTTATTTATTTACAAAGTTTATTTCCATTTTTAAAAACAATGCTTTACATATATACATACAAAATTATTGCAACTAACATATACAAATATGCGCCTATACCACTGATGAAATCCGTTTCATTTCCCTCCCTTTCCTTTCACCCAAATATACCATAAATTCCAACATTCATAATAATCAGAATCTTTCTGGTTCCTAAGTAATTTCGTTAACCGATCTGCCTCTGCGCATTCTGTAATTTTCCAAATCAATTTATTCTCTGTGGGTATTAATTCGTTTTTCCATTCTTGCGCGTATACTATCCTAGCTGCGGTAATAATGTGGTGGATCGAGTACCATTTTTCCTTAGATATTTTATCTGGTTTCATTCCCAATAAAAAAGTCTCTGGTTTCAGCTCTATATTATATCCTGTAATTTCCACTATCCAATGCCGAATCTTGGACCAATATTTGCCTGCTTTGGGACATATCCACCATTGGTGATAGTATGTCCCGCTACCATTCCCGCACTTCCAACATGCTGGGGAGGCTCCCGGAAACTTTCTTGCTATTCTTGCCGGGGGGATATGCCAACGATAGACCATTTTATAAATGTTTTCCTTGTAGGGGGTTGATAAAGTAAATTTCATATTCCCATTCCATATCGCATCCCATTCATCCAGATTTGGGGAAAATCCAAGATTCCTCCCCCAGGCAATCATGGTGTCCTTAATCACCTCCTCACCAATCCATCGTGATATCAAGAACTGGTAGCACCTTGAAAGTAATTTCTTTTCAATTCCCAATAAGGTTTTATCTAGCTCCTGTAGTGACCTATAAATTCCCTCCTTTCTTTTATCCCTTCTGACTCTTGATTGTATTTGGGCATACGCCCACCAATCTACCTTCTTGCCCTGATTCATAAGCTCTTCACGGGTCTTCAAGTCCCCTTGAGGGTCAAGCAAGTCCTGATAAGTCCAAGATGTTTCCTTGTTATATAGTGTTGAGTGTGTTACCGCCTCTAATGGAGCGAACCAAATCGGAATCATTGTGTAGTTGTCGAGCGTCAAGAAGCACTCGACATCATCCATCCATGGATGCGGCAAGGGGGGAGCAGATTCACATGGGTGTTGGTGGTGGAGTAGGCGTCCGATTAGGAGTTTATGTGCACGGGTGTCTTATGGGGTCGCGTGGGATTAGCATACCACTCTGAGAACGCTCCAGAAAATGACGACATTCTAGCAGGCCTGGAGGAATGGGGAAATACGAGACCTGCTCAGCTGAGTGTAATCAGGGACGGAGCTATATAAGAGCCCGACTACGAGGGCGTGACAGTTGCGTCTTTGCTATGTTTTGCATTCCGGTTCCTGTAAGAACTGATCGCCACGATTAAACGGAGATATACCGACTTGGCTTCGAGCGTATTCTTTGGGCGTGGACACAGTCCCAGGGGAACCGAGAGTAGTGCTTGTTCCTAACACCTTCCCAAGATTCTAATAGGATTCTCCGAAGGTAGTGTCTCTTAAAGTGTCCACATTTCTTGCCCCTCTCTCTCCATAGGAAGTGGTGCCAACCTTGACACAAATCATAACCCTCCAATGTAAGAGTCCTCTTCCTTTTTAGAAGCATCCAATCTCTAATCCAGTTAAATTGGCCGCTTTGTAGTAAAACTCCCATTTTGGTAAACCAAATCCCCCTCTACATAGAGTCTCTTAGAGCATTTTAAGTTTAATGCGGGGCTTCTTTTTCTGCTAAACAAATTTCCTCACATAACTATCTAGCAGTTTGAAGAAACCACTATCCAGTCTCGCGGGGGCAGTCTGGAATAAGTAATTCCATTTTGGAAGCACGTGGGTTTTAATCGTAGCTATCCTTCCCAGTAAGGAGAGTTGCACTTCTCTAGGTCTATCTTTGTTTGGGCTAACAGCTTTGTGTAATTGTCTACTATAATAGACGTGTTTTTGGAAGACATCCAAACACCCAGATATTTAATTCTTTTCGTCACTTGAAAGCCCAATTCTCTCTCCAATTCACTCCAACGATTCCGTGTCATATTCTTTGTTATAATCTTCATCTTATCTCTGTTAATTCGGAGACCTGCAACTCTGCCATACTTCTCTATCTCCTGGAGCAAGTTTTTACCTGATTCTATTGGATCCTCTACAATAAAAACCAAATCATCCGCAAAAGCCTGGGTTTTATATTCTTCAGATTTCACCTTCAACCCCTTTATTCCCTGATTCTTCCTAATTTCCCATAGAAGAGGTTCTAATACAAATATAAATAGACTACACTTCCCCCACAACCTTGGTCTCTATAGGGGAGAGGAAGTATATGAGATTAAACATTTAGGATTAAATCAGGCTTTCCCAAGGGAAGGTGGGGAGTTTGGTAAGATCTTTGTTGAACTGGTGAATCAACAATAAACAAACTTCTTGACTTAAACCTTGGAGCTGTTCTGGTTGCTTGCACTTAACAACATACCGTATATACTTGAGTATAAGCCAACCCGAATATAAGCCGAGGCACCTAATTTTACCACAAAAAACTGGGAAAACTTATTGACTCGAGTATAAGCCTAGGGTGGGAAATGCAGCAGCTACTGGTAAATTTCAAAAATAAAAATAGATACCAATAAAATTACATTAATTGAGGCATCATAATAAAATATAGCAGACTGAGTACAGTAAATAAACGTCACAGCCCTGGAGAAGAGCGGGAGAAGAAGAGCGGTTGCAGGCTCTTGTCCAGTACAGCATGGACAACACAGAGGCGGTCGGCATGCAGGAGAAAAGAAGAGCGGTGATATCAACAGTCATTGGACCACCCATAGAGGCTGCAGGTGCCCGCAGATGAGTGGGAGAGACTGGAGAACACCCGCACTGCACTGGAGAACAGGTAAGTGGGACCCTCACTCGAGTATAAGCCAAGGGGGGGCTTTTTCAAAATAAAAAATGTGCTGCAAAAGTCGGCTTATACATGAGTATATACGGGTAAGTTTTTAAATCAGCAATGATTTAATTCAAAAATAATTTTAAACCTTTTTCTTATCCTGATGCTTCTGCTCTCTTTCAATGTCATTCATTACTGGAATGTTGAACTTGATTATATTTGTGATGATGGGATTGAGCCATGGAATACAAATAAATTGCTTTATTCCAGGTAACGCATTCTGGAAGAAAACCATAATTATACTTACATGCTATGGCACAAATATAATGTGGTTAATCTTACCGTGAGAAGTAAAAGCTAAAAATGGGTTCAGAAATCTGGTTTTGACTCATCATCTGGTGCAAGAGTGATCCCTCGGTATTTGGAATAGGATTGGTCAAACCCAAAATCCCATCAAATTTGCCATAGTAGAAGAAGTTGGCTTCCTCCACACTCAATCCAAACTGTTGGTTTTGAACTGCAATATTCTGGATCTGAGAGAGAAGATTGAAAAACAGATTTCACTTGTAGTTCATAGCATTGCAACAACTCTGCACTTTCTCTTGAAATTCGCATATCTTTACCATAAAGATAATGAAAATCCGTACAGGAGTGAAATGCTCCCGGTTCGGACCAGATCGCCCGATCCGGTAGCGATGGTGGCAGGTGGTTCGGAAAAATCCCTGTGCCCCCCACACACACACACCATGCCCAGCTGAGCCGCACAATCATCAGAGGCTTTTTTTTTACTTTTAAAAGCATTTTTTCTACAACATCTTCCGAAGAAAAAGTGCTTTTAAAAGTAAAAAAAAAAGCCTCTGATGATCACGTGGCTCAGCTGGGATCATCAGAGGCTTTTCAAAGCATTTTTTTCTGCAACCTCTTGGCTGTAGAGGTGGTAAAAAAAAATGCTTTGAAAAATCTCTGGCAACTCCCAGCTGAGTTGCCTGATTGACAGAGGCTTTTCAAAGCATTAGAAAAAATGCTTTGAAAAGTTAAAAAAAAAAGTTGGCCACACCCACCCAGTCACATTAACCCCCCCCCACCAAGCCACACCCACAGAACCGGTAGTAACAAATTTTACATTTCACCCCTGCTTCCGTATCATTTTCTTTGCAATAGCATGGGGATGGTTTGTCACTGTCTAGCAAGGGCAGTGGTGGCTTGCTAAAAGTTGAGGTTATCCATATGTGAAAATGGTCGTCCATGGGAAGCAATAAAAGAATCAAGACGTTGTGTTTTTGTTGCTGATCACAAATACAAAAAGGGCAGGGCTTTGATCACATTGCTGCAGTTCTGTTATATTGCCTTTTTTTTTTCTTACTCCCCTGCAGATGCTGATGAGAGATACCCCAGTTATATGATAAAAATGTGGAAGAATCTCATTAAGGGTCGTTGTCCCGAATGTATTCTATCGTCTTTAGCAAATATGCCAGCTATGACCACCAATGGTAGCAGATATCTAACTGCCATAATTCATCCTTACAAGATTTCAAGGTTCGTTTATTTTATTGACATTATACCCCAAAGAACATAGAGCTGGTGAGTACTACAAGACCAGACTTTTTGTAATAGCACCCTCTCCCTGAAAACTTTGCTAGTCCCTTCCTTGCATCCATTTAAGAAATAGTGAAGGTTAATCTGATGTTGGACTTTCAGTGTTAGATTAGTATGTTATTTTAATCAGAACGCTATTTCTGTAGCTTTTATTATGATACCAATTTACTTCCATTATGTTTATTCTCTTTAAGGCAGTGTTTCCCAAACTTGACCCTTTGAAGATGTATGGACTTCAACTCCCAGAATTCCTCAACCAGGCATACTGGTTGGGGAATTCTGGGAATTGAAGTCCATGCATCTTAAAATAGCCAAGTTTGAGAAACACTGCTGTAAGGTAAAGGTAAAGGTTCCCCTCACACATATGTGCTAGTCGTTCCCGATTCTAGGGGGTGGTGCTCATCTCCGTTTCAAATTCGAAGAGTCAGCGCTATCCGAAGACATCTCCGTGGTCATGTGGCCGGCATGACTAAACACCAAAGGCACATGGAACACTGTTACCTTCCCACCAAAGGTGGCCCTATTTTTCCACTTGCATTTTTTACGTGTTTTCGAACTGTTAGGTTGGCAGAAGCTGGGACATGTAACAGGAGCTCACCCCGTTACGTAGCACTAGGGATTTGAACTGCCGACCTTTTGATCAACAAGCTCAGTGTCTTAGCCACTGAGCCACCATGTCCCTTCTTATTCTCTTTAGACATGGTCATTTTAATGCTTATTTTATGCATTGGTCCCCTAAAACAGTTATACATATAAATGTAAATAAGTAAGAGTTAATTCTAATGAATTAATCAGTGTAGCATAGTAGTAAGGAATTAATGACTAAAAACTTGGTTAAAATCCACTCACCCGCACAGTATCATAACCTAACATTATACTCAAGCTACCAGATCCATATCTCAGGATGTAAGTTTGTTGATTATTGCTATAATAAGTAGATGACTGTTTTGGGTCAAACAGATGATGGTTTTCTACAACAAAACAAGAAAAAAATAGAGAGTAAAAGCTTTGCTCTATGTGTAGTGAAAGATCATTTTCTCTATACTTAAATCACAACAGTCAGTACTTTACTTCACTACCAGCCCACACTTTTTCATTCTCTCATGTTGTAGGAAAAGTCCACATCAAAATTTTAATTCTTTACACTGAAATGGCAAGGGGATAGAAAGCATTTGAAAGAGGCATTTTTCAAAAAGACATGCATAAGAAACATCCTTATTAGTACAGGTCAAGAGGTCCCCTTTTGTGGACCCAAATCAAAGCAAAACTATGGGCAACATGGCAACTTTCAGCATTTTAAAATACCCTCCCCCCCACAAGGTATTAGGAAGTGCACTTCCAGTGAAAAACCTTTATGTGTAGAGCTGATCATGACTCTGGTCATTTTGGCCCAGTGACACACTTAGAATTTTGATTCTTTTTCTCATAAACTGATTGTCATTTTTGCCCTGGGAAATGAAACACGCAGTTATGAAATGGGAAATCCAGTACTGTATTGTAGGCACCAACTATTTTCTATTTTGTAAAAAATAATAATAAGGGTGCAGGAAAGAGCAAATTCAGGTGAAATTGTTTAACCCCCTCAAAGCACCCAAAATGATGGAAAAAGAGCCCAAATTTTCAGCTCTGCTCCCTTCAGTGATCCACTCACTGACTGGAAGGCTGAGTTGGGGTCTGCAACCCAGAAAAGTTTCCTTACCAATCGACAAGGTATAAATGGTTTAAAATAAGGGGGAAATATACACTGCTCAAAAAAATAAAGGGAACACAAGCAGAAGACATCCGAGATCTGAATGAATGAAATAGCCTTATTAAATACTTTGTTCTTTACATACAGTAGTTTATACACTGCTCAAACAACTAAAGGGAACACAAAACTACTGTATGTAACGAACAAAGTATTTAATAACTATTTCATTCATTCAGATCTCGGATGTCTTCTGCTTGTGTTCCCTTTATTTTTTTGAGCAGTATATTTGGTTTTGACAAAAGTAAATATTTTCCCTAGAAGCATATATTCAAAACCTTCAGCAAGGGAGTGGACTACTCACCACAGGCCGTTGATGTGCAATATGTAGAAGGTACCCACAGAACACCAGAGCCAGTATCCAAAAGAACAAGAAAATCTTGGGGTGGAGTTCCAATGGTTATTTTTCCAAAGTAAAAAGACTGTCAAATGAAAATAATTATGAGACAGGTTTCACAAAAACTTTGGAGTAACTAAATAGGTAAATAAGTAGGGAACTACCTCTCCCTGACATTACCTGCCCGTCCTTGAGATCAAATAGGAGAGACATCCTCCAGTCCCTTCTCTGAAATGTTGCCATCTAGTGCAGGGGTCTCCAACCTTGGCAACTTTAAGACTTGTGGACTTCAACTTCAAGAATTGAAGTTGAACTCTGGGAGTTGAAGTCCACAAGTCTTAAAGTTGCCAAGGTTGGAGACCCCTGATCTAGTGGGACCTCAAAATATCTTTGTGACTACAAGAACCTGTTCTAGGGCTACAAACATTCAGATGACTACAAAATGACAGCAAAGAGGCACAGTGCACTATTTTCTGCCATCTCACAATCTCCAGATTTTTGCAGCCCAAATCTTGGCAGCCCTAGGAAACTGGATTTTTTTTCTACTTGCACCTTGCTCATTCTCCATGAAAAAGAGAAAAAAAACATTTTAAAATCTGAAGGGTTATTTGTCGTTTTAGTGAGTACAAAATGAACAAATAAACCAAACTTTGGTTATATGTTCATGGAAGAGTGTACACTGTACTGAATGATGCTTTAAACCAAGGCTTCTTGTTACTATCAAACATAGTGTTTGGCTCCAATGTGACTTACTCAGAAGTAAATAGATCTATTATTCCAGTTGTAGACTACCTCGCTTCTTTGGGAGTAAGTTATGCAGTTGCTGTCTTTTATTCATTCGGAGTAAAGACAAATTGTAGCCCTAACTCAGAATGCTCACCAGTCATAGTAAAAAAAACTATCCCAAATACATATTACATTAAGTTGCTCTTTAACAAGGCGGGCATATCTAGGTATTATTGTCAGAAAACAGTGGTCCAATTACATGAGACTTAAAAATACAGAGAACTATTTTTTCCTGAATAATAATCAGAAAAAATAATAATCAGCAAAAAAATAATAATTGCAAAATATGTTGCTGAATAATCAGGTAGCATCAAAAATTGATTTAAATAAATAAATGGATTATGTTCTTTCCTGAATTCAGGCATCAGCAGTCCATTTACAGTTGTTCATAGGAGAAAGGAAAGATGAAATAATTAAGTGATATTTCATTATACATATATAACATCCTATTGATTGGTTCTGAGAAGAGCTATCACAATGTGCCAATAATAAACTTAAATGCTAGAGTTACAAAGTCAGGTGAAGGAGAGGAAAATACATATTTCTGTGGTTTAAATACTTACGTTCAAATAATTGGTCATTGGTTCATATGTAGCACTGAATTTATTGAACTGATACTTTAATCCAGGATCAATATGGTATTTTTCCAAAAATTCTTCCAACACTCCATGCTCTCTCATATTTTCACGAATGGATTTTCCTTTCTTCAGAATGATTCTACATACCAAGAAAGATAGTCAGAATATCCTTCACTATCACAACTATCTGCATATTTTTAAAATTTTGTTACTAAAAACAATAATATCCTATCAAACAAGTACTACACAAACAAGAGATTAAGCGAAGAAGCAGGAATACTGAGGCTTGCCATAGAAATATAAAAACATAATTTTGCCACCATTTTTGACTAAAAGCAATGTGCTTTAGATTGTTTCAATTCTATTTTCATTTAATGTATGGTCTTAGCTGAGATACTCACCTATTGAGTCTACCTTCTGACAGGTAGACACAAACTAATGCCAGGATCAACCACTTCATGATACTTTGCATCTTGGGGAATTATCTCAGGGAATCCAAAAATTTTGCCAACAACTAGGCTGCTGTGACTCCGCTTTTATATCCAAGGCAACTGTTCTCTGCTATTTAATCTCTTTGTTCTTGTGTCCCATATCTCTCTCTTTAATCTTATTATACTAAGCCAATACTAACATACCTTTTCTTATGGATAATAGGAATTAACTTTCCTCTGTTTGAATTACGTTCAATTGAATTTTTGCCCTTGATGTTAAATAAAAGACTAATAGAATTTGGCTTCACAAAGCATTACCTGATAGCAATATCTGATATATATATATATATGATAATATATCGAAATGAAAAACTATAATCAATTTCTCCTTGGAAGCTGCTCCCATTGTTTTAAGAAATAATGGAAAATGAATGAATAATCCCAGTTGCTCTAATAATGATCAGTTGCTCTAGTAAGGTTGGACAAGGTTACTTTTGATTGAATTACATTTTAGAATTCTCAGTTTATGCTTGCTAATTTTTTTGTTGAACCTTGGAAAACTGCATGGTGGTTCTGTCCTGCATGAAAATTGACATTCCAGAACACGACTGTGTCGATTCATCCTTCCATTCCCAGTTGTGAAAGTAAAAGAACCCCAGGTTCTTAACTGGAGCCATGTGCCAGAGAAGTTTCCAATTTACATTTTCTGCTAGTCCTTCATATATTTTATAAAAACATTTTTCCCATTTCATTTATCTGTGAAATAAGGAGCTTCTTGGATGAGAAGCAAAATGTCTTCAAAGAAAAACAAGCAAGTCCAGTTGCCTCCTGAAAAAGCACCTTTGGGACAACCATGACCTGGATGACTGAGAATCTCTACAGACTTTTAGCTCTGGAGTTCTTTCTGAAAGGATTAAAAAGCGAGAGCCTTAAACATTCAGGGAAGATTTATAAAGTCAGTTTATTTATATAATTATATGATTTCCATTTTTCATATTCTGGGGAAATTATTCTCTCACCACCTTTCTTTATGAGCATGGCCTTGCTCTCACTTCTACAATACCTGTTGTTCAAAAAGATCTACTGGGAAAATAATTCAATGCATGTCAAGAATATCCAGGAACACATCGTTTTTAAATAGAACAAATTGTAATATGGAAATTAAATCCATCTTTGATATCCTGTGTTACCAGTCTGTCAATCTGACTATTCATATAATATCAGTTGCAGAAACAATAGTTCAATTGGAGTGTCATAGGGAAAGAAACCCATCACTGCTATAATGAAAACAGAAAAGATGTTCCAGTGACGTCAATCTCTGAATGCATGCAACGGTTATTCAATTCATTTTTCTGAAAACTAACAACCAATGGCTGATTAGGAAAGATGGGAACTGTTGTTTAACACATCTGGACACTGTCAGCTTGTAAAATCTTATCTCATGAATGAGATTTTTTATTTATTTTATTTTATTTGTCAAGAACATATTAGGTAATATATGCACTAAGTAATATATCACTATATGATAGCATGTGCACCAAGACAAATTCCTTGTGTGTCCAATCGCACTTGGCCAATAAAAAATTCTAATTCTAATTCTAATATTAATATATAAGTATAAGCATAAATTGAATACATAAAATAGATACAAATAGAGGAAACATTAGAATAGGGACAGTAGGCACACTGGTGCTCTTATGCATGCCCCTTAGGAACGGGGTGAGGTCAGATGTGGGTTTCAGCAGGTTCTGACCAGTTCTGGAGAACCAGTAGCAAAAACTTTGAGTAGTTCGGAGAACCGGTAGTAAAAATTCTGACTGGCCCCACCCCCATCTATTCTCTGCCTCCCAAGTCCCAGCTATTCAGGAGGAAATGGGGATTTTGCAATAACCTTCCCTCTGGAGGGGGGACGGAATGGAGATTTTACAGTATCTTTCCCCTGCCACGCCCACCAAGCCACACCCACAGAACCGGTAGTAAAAAAACTTGAAACCCACCACTGGGTGAGGTCAACAGTAGACAGTCTTAGGTTAAAATTTTGGGGGTTTTGGGATGAAACCACAGAGTCAGGTAGTGCATTCCAGGCATTGACCACTCTGTTCCTGAAGTCATATTTTCTGCAATCGAGTTTGGAGCGGTTCACTTTAAGTTTGTATCTATTATGTGCTCTTGTATTGTTGTGGTTAAAGCTGAAGTAGTCTTGACAGGTAGGACATTGTAGCAGATAATTTTATGAGCTACGCTTAGGTCATACCGAAGGCGGCATAGTTCTAAGTTTTCTAAGCCCAGAATTTCAAGTCTGATGGCATAAGGTATTTTGTTGCAAGCAGAGGAGTGGAGGAGTGTTGCTATTACATTCAATTGGATACCTCTCCATTTAATACTTTTGCCTTCTGTCCTATTAAAAACTACCAGTTGCAACATTCTGAGTGGTTCTGGGGCCCCACACAGTGTTGTGTGCTTGTGTATTGTTGTGATTGAAGCTGCAGTAGTCATTATCTTTGGTGAGTTCAACAACTAATTCATAAGTTCATTTATTTCGTAAATTACAAAAATCATATTTTAAAAAATGGGTATGAATCTGTATTTTTTTTTTTAATATTCACAAACATTTGTTATTAGTTAATAAGAAATGCCAGTTCAAATTCAGTAGTATTTCAGAGCAGGATGAACCATTTATTTCTTTAGGAATTACTCCAACAGGCCTTTTTCTTGAAAGATTACTCTTTCCTTCTTCCTTCCTTCCTCCAGCATCCCTTTTTTCCTTCAGGGGGATCCTGGAGGGATTTTCCTTTCTTTTGCACAGGATACAAAAAAGCCCCTTTAGGATCAGCTAGAAGCATATATTCCTTATCCTGTTTGTATTACTCTTCCATCCTTTTTTATCACCTCTACTTTGTCACTGAAAATCACTCATGTCAAAACTTGCTATTTGCTATTAAAGCAAGGAACTGTGTGAAACAGGAGAAGTACATTCACAAAGCCTTATGCTTTAATTTTGACATAAAAAGATAGATTATGACTGTATTTGTCCTCAGTTAGCCAACCTTGATAGATCCTTAGTCCTGTCACAATTGATTGAAATACCCTTCACTTCCTCTGATAGGTGGAGATACATCAGTATCAGAATCACCCACTTCATAATGTACAGGATCTTCATCAGTCGTGAAATCCAAAATTTTTTACTACCAGTTCTGTGGGTGTGGCTTGGTGGGTGTGGCTTGGTGGGCGTGGATACTGCAGGGGAAGGATCCTGCAAATTCTCCATTCCCATCCCATTCCAGGGGAAGGATACTAATGTAAATGAAGCGGACTCTGATAGATGACCACTGGATAACTTTCTATTCACTCTATTCTAAAAAGCAATGCATCCAGTTGGAAAAAGTACAAACTCAGCCAAAATCCTTTTGGTACCTCTAGGAGGCCTCTAAGTTGTCAGAAGAAAGGAACATTCTAATGACATACAGCTTAAAGGTTGGTTAGGTCAAGGGGATCCACATGAGTTAAAAGTTGTCTATCGTCAGAAGATGATTTGAGTCTATGCTTCAGTAATCTACAAAAAGAATTATAACTGTTTTGCAAAGAAACTCAGTAATTAGGAAATGTCAATTAAAAATGACAAATGTATATGACCATATGAATTGCTGAGTTAACAGAATCCTTTGTCTAGAAGGGTATAAAACCATTGTACCTAATTTCTGTCTTTGTTCAACGCTTCATGTACAGAGCCTTGAACCTATTGCGCAATATACAAATTGTCTCTGATTAATCCAAAAGTTGTGTTTGTTTTATTAAATCTACAACAATACTGCAAAATCCCCATTCCCTCCCCACTTCTGGGAGAAGGATATTGCAAAATCTCCATTCCCATTCCACTCTGGGCCCAGCCAGAATTGGTGTTTGCCAGTTCTCCGAACTACTCAAAATTTCTGCTCATAGTTTTCGCTACCGGTTCTCCAGAACCTGTCAGAACCTGCTGGATTTCACCCCTGGTCTTCCTCAATATAATCCAGAAATTATGTGCAGAGTTATTAATGTTGTGTCCCTAGCTTTATATTCCCAATAGCTGCCCTCTAGTGATTTTTTTTTTGTTTACTTTTGGTTACCTATATCATTATTCATACCAAAAATCTACATTTGTTTTGTTGGGTAGGATAAAAGAGCAATTTTTTAATTAGTTTTAAATACTATTTGCCCTTGATTTAAAAAAAAACAAAAACCAAAAGAAGTTGAATGATTATTAAAATTTTGCTAAGAAACTAGCAAAGAAAATCAGTGATAAATTATCAATCAGCCATAATATATTCAGTATATAATCTAATCTCAAATGTTTCAGAAGTAATAGAGGACAAGTTAGCAATCTCAGCTGCTGTGACAAATGCTTAGCAAGTTCAGTTTCTGTTTGAGTTCAATAATTATCAAAAATAAGAAAGTCAAGGCTTACTTTCCATAAAACATTGGCTCATTTTAACAGATAACCTTGGGAACTATGCTAATAAATAAAGAGTTGGATCCAAGCATAAGTAGAACTATTGAAATCTTAATTTACTAAATCCCATTAATTTGAAACCATCAATTCATTCACTAATGCACTGTTAATAAATACCTTTTCATTAAAACAAATTTCAAGGCATTTTATTGTAAATGTTTGATATTAAATTGTGCTAAATTCAACCCTAGTCTTTCTGATTGATCCATGTTTGAAAGATGAGATATCTTATTTAATGTGTTCATTAGTACATAATGAGAAAGAGAGAGGGAGATTATAAAGCCACACTTTAATTGTTTAAGTATTTTTTTAAAAAAAATAAGTACCGTATTTTCCGGCGTATAAGACGACTTTTTAACACAGGAAAATCTTCTCAAAAGTCGGGGGTCGTCTTATACGCCGGGTATAAGCCTACGATATCTACCTTGACAGACTGACGGAAGCGGTAAGAGCGGCTACTACCATCTCTAGTCATTGCTAGAGATTTCTAACCCGAATCTGAGTTGCCAGTGCTGACCGATGACGCTACGGGAGTGCCGACAACATTGAAGGAAAGCTGTGCCGATCTCGTCAAGGCTGCATGCCGCTGAATGCTGGACCCAGCTGGTTGCTGAG